ACTAGTCAGCAGGGAGGATTAAACAAACCTTCTTTAATGGGTTGGTCTACTAACCTAGCCACCATACCTGTTACGTGTTACACACTTGTTACATCTCCAGTCCCAAGCAACCGATTTATAGAGAGACACATGCTGCAGGACCTGCATAATTATACTGTAGGGCATTTTAGCCCAGAAACCTTAATTTGAATGCGAGTGACTACAGTAAAGCTTTATAGCCTACCTAAGATAGAAAGGTCCTTACAGCCTCTCGGCTTCATAAAAAGCAAGGAAAAAAAAGTAACAACAAGAAATAGTACTGAGGATTGTGAGCCTTACACAATCTGCAGTGCCCAGCACTGAGTCCCTCGCCACCTGCCCACCAACACCTGCATGTTTCTTGTACATTACAAAGTCCTCGAAGGTTACGTGCACAGCTGTGTTGTGCCTTGTGAACTAGCATAAAGTGCTTCATACATGTAAGAATTACACACGACAATCCAAGTCTTCTGCCATGAGTATGGAAAAGAAATATAATGTCCATGAATTGTTCTAAAGATTAACTTTATATTACTCCACTAGTCAAAACTGAATTATAATGATTACAGTACTAAACTATAAAACAACTAAATTATCAAACACAGTGGATCTATTTTAATGCTCATATGGAAGTGTGTTTCATTTCCTCCATCCTTATTCGTATTTAGAATTGTGGTCATCTATACAGAAACACGTTCTTTTCTCTCTTGCAACCTTAAATGACTATTTCATACTAGAAATCCCCTCACTGTGGGCATTTTGGAATTCCTGGCACACATTCAATCCCAGCTATCGAAGATACTGAAATGAAACCTCATTACCCCAAATCAAACATTGGTTTATTTACTTATCTAAAAAAAGTTCAAATTTCAGAACTTTATAGTTTAAGAAAAAAGCAAGATGAAAATATAACCTCACAAAACCTGCATGTTACTTTACTAGGGCGCCAGTCCTGTTTTGATCCTCATTGCTTTAAGACAATGGCTTTAAATAACCAGAACAAAGTTTCTCACTAGGCAGACAGCATTGTTCTCAGACTTGCTGGCTCTTTTAAGTTACCATCGTAAAGCTCTGAAGCATCCAGCATCTGGTGACACCTGCTCCATAAGCCACCGTGGCCTGTCATTAAAGAATCATTAAGCAACACTTCCCAGGTCTATAAGATTATCTTCTGCACTTTATGAGTTATTATTTGATTTCCAGTAAGAATCCGGACTACTCAAAGCTATCCTTTTTAAGTTACAAAATTCAGTGATAATAATTTTGAGCATTTTTCCTGAAAATAAATATCATGAATTGAGTTTTTAAAAGCAGTACGGAAACCTAATAATAAAATTCAAACTTTGTGTATTAATTTATACACACATGTAATAAAGCAACCTACAGGGGGGATGGGCGATAAAGGAGAATGATGAAGGGGTTGAAATTCAACTATGATATATTGTAAGAACTTTTATAACTGTCATAATGTACCCACAGTACAACAATAATAAAAAAAATTCATTAAAAATAATTTAGGGGCTGGCTGACTTAGGGCACATTGAAAAATTAGTTATTCTCACAAAAAATTTAAGTATTATAATTGAGTAGTTTTGAAATAAAAATTTTGTTATGTTACCTTTTGGGGGCCGAATGGCCACAAAGTAAAATACATTCTCTCAATTTTATATCTTGTGACCTAACTGCAAACTTACATTAAAGTGCATTTTCTGTATTTCATACCTTGTTACCTAACTGTAAACTTGTATTAAAGAACCAGTTTCTAGAAATGCATGAAACAGACTGATTTCCAGCTGAAACCTTCACAACTCTTACTTTGATCAGGTTTTGTTGATCAAATGAGGCCTGCAGAGAGATGTGTATACAAACACTCTTTACAAGGAAATGCATCAGCAGAGAATGCACACAGCTCTGGCATGCACACTTTACCCTGACCCACAGTTATCTCGAGGAGCCCTCAAGAGAGAGCAAGACAGTCATGCGACACAAGGGAGCTCAGTGCCTTTCTCTATTTCCCATCATGCCTTCTTGTTACTGTGAGTTTTCATCAGACTATAACTGAAAGCAATTTGTAAATGGAATGTAACTTAGACGTTGACTTTTCTGCTAGCCTCACTAAAAGATGTAAAGACTGAGCACCGTGATTTTTTGATGGTGCTGGGGTTGGAACTCAGGGCCTTACCCTTGCTAGGGAGCTCAAGTTGTTACCAAGTTTTTATAACATCCTCATTTCGATTGCTTTCTCTCCCTTCCCACCTATGGAGAAGCAACTGTTGATACCACAATATTCTCCAAAGATAAATTCTTTTTGGCAAGCTGCCATTTTGAATAGTCACCAGTATTTTTCTCAGCAGCAGAGTAATTTTAAGGTTCAATGTACTTCACCACTTGAGAACCAAAGCAGAAATGACCCAAGTTCTTTAAGCCTCCCCACTACAGGGGTAGGGGGCCTCCCAGAGCACAGGAGCCAGAACAGCTGGAAGCCAAGGGTCTCTTACTGGCCTATTTCCCCCTCTAGTTTCCATGTGAACATAGTCTACCCTGGTTACTCTATCACTTCCTTTTCTTATAACCTGATCTATAACCTCCACCAAAGAAACAACCAATAAATGAAAAAGTGTCCACCAACATGAATCACTTCTGACATCAGACCACTGTCTTTTCTCTACTCTGAATATCCTAAATATAGGGCAGGTCCCTGCTGTTTCTCCTAGCGCTGTCTTTGCAGAATGTACATTTCAAAGGCGTGTTCCTGTTTTATTACTGCGTGGGACAATGGGAGAAAGATTCTCCTGATGACGTCCACCATTAACAGGAGGTCCATACTTGATGATCTGTGTGAAAATACTCTGTAAAGACATTAGACAAAGAAAGAGCGTCCCTAATTACTCAGAACAACATAAGGGGAAAGATTCCGGGGAAGGGCAGCCTTCCTTAAGGATTTTAACTAATCTTTAAGGAAATTATGCTCTGGTAAAACCCAGAGGGTCAGCACCTACCATTCATTCAATGATCATGTATTTGTGTATGGTTAATTTACATAACAGAAGCTTAGTGACTGATGTATTTCTATGATGCACCCAATTTTAGAATGAGTTATTTTCATCATATAAGTTTATTGCTACCTGAAGACACAGTTATTGACTATTTATTAATACCACGATTAAAACCCACTATTTAAGAATGTCCTTAGAGCACAATCATTACAGATTTCCTGTAATAATCTTCCTCAGTTACTTAGGCATTGTACTGAAATAAAACTCTAATTTGTTTAAGTCAAAATAAGAGAAAATCTAATCAAAATGGCTAGGAAAACAAAAAACTTTCAGTCCTTCTACCAGCTCAGTTCTAAATTAAAACATACATATTCAGCCTACACAAATAACATTCTGTACTGTCAAAAAAAAAATTACCAAAGGATATTTACACTCACAGAAATTAAATATTATTAAGAATTTTAAAGTGTTATCCTGTGAGATCAGGTAGGCTTAATGTACAGCAGTCGACATTATATTAAGCAAATGAAAATCTAAAAAAAAGCTATCTTTCTTCACAGCATCAACACTACATCCAAAAAAAGGAAGCACCCCTCTTCATAGCAAACGAAACTTGCTTTAACTCAGGATGAAAGCAACCACCAGGAAAATACTTGCTGGCTCCTTAAGTTTCCAGTTTTCAGGCATCTAATAATGCAAAGCATGATCTCCAAATTAAAAATTTAACAACAGAACAATCCAGAGGAAGACCACATTGTGAAAACACTCCTCATCCCTGTGTCTCACTTCAGCTCTGTTCCTACATTCAACAGAAGCATTACTAATACCTATAAATATCCCTTGACATTTTATATAAATATCCTTCAAAAAACTGAAACAGCCACACAATTATAATTTAGTGGAAATATAGCATGATCTTAAAAATATCATTTTTCCAGGCACTGGTGGCTCACTCCTGTAATCCTAGCTACTTAGGAGGCAGAGATCAGGAGGATTTCAGTACAAAGTCAGCCTGGGCAAACAGTCCATGAGACCCTATCTTGAAAACACCCATCACAAAAAAAGGGCTGGTGGAGTGGTTCAAGGTGTAGGCCCTGAGTTCAAACCCAAGAACTACAAAAAAAAAAAAAAAAAAAAAACCATCATCTGTCAGGCTGGGGAGTGGCTCAAGTGGTAGAGCACTGGCCTAGGAAGAACAAGGCCCTGTGTTCAATCCCCAGTACCACCAAATAAAAATAGCCATTTGTGGAAACAGCTTGCTAAGCCAAATAAAATGAATAAATGCACCTTTATCTAGGCTATGGGTCATTAATAAACTGTCACATCGCCACCAAATCTTCTATTTAAGCATCTTCTTTCGACACACTGCACTCTTAAACAACAATAAAACAAAGTTCTTAAAGAGTTTCCAATTTAAAACTAAGACAAACACAGGTTTCCCTTTTTACATTCTTTTGGGACATTAAAATTTGTTCTACATAATGCTGGCTATGTCTGTATCCAAATACCGCCCACCAAGTTCAACTGGACTGGAAACTAGTTCCGTGTTCTATAGAAGTGGGCTGGGGCACTCATCTGTCCTCTCAAGCTCACTGAAAGCCTTGTACTCCACCATAGACTATTAGTAAAACACAGTGACTTAATGGCAATAAGCTGAAGCAACATTACAGACAATGCTGCGGACCATTCAGTATTCATCTCTGTTTGCTTTACTTTTACTTTCTTGTCATTGCTCCTAGCTTTCTCAGCTTTGTTACTTATTAATAGCTCTGGTCAAAATACCCAAGAACAGGATTCACTTTTAAAAAACCAAAAAGATGGCAACTTATAGACTTTGTGTGTGTGTTTGATATCTCAGCACAGGTAATCAAGGGTCAAAACTTTTAAGTTACATTGAGCTAAAGACGGAAGACTACAACACTGTACCACCCAGGAATACATACAGAAGCAGAAAACATCACATCGTGGCCCAAATGATCTAATTTTCAAATCAATAAATCAACAAATATGCAAATAACAAGAAAACTAAGACTGTCATTTTTTCTCCTCTCAAAATTTCAAAACTATATAAAGAATACATTATATGATAAGCCTATTAAAATGTCATGATGTCTCAACTGTCATGATCATAGTCTCCAATTATTAAAGTCAAGATTAAGCACCGCATTTGAATTAGCAAGAGAAAAAAATCAAAATTTTTAAAAACTCACTTTATATAGTATCTTGCACCTTCAAAAGTATATGCTTCTTCCCAGCCAGTGGGCAAATCTAAAAAACATATATATATGTATATTACAATTAGTATTACTTCAATGGGATAGCAAAATAAATTCCAATCATTTTAATTATTTATTTTCATTAAAGTAAGTTTCTAATAGGGAAAAAGTGCTGACTGGCAATAAAATTAGTAGTAGATAAAATATTGTTTTGGCAAGGTAACAATTCACTTTCAAGCCATCAAATAAGTCCTGACAATATTAACGACTACCTTACATGATTACGTATACCCTTTAGTATCAGAGTGCACAGGAACTACCCTTAGGCATCCAGAAAAGCAACAGGAAGTGTTCTAAACCCAGGTAAAATGCCCACCAATGATGGACAAAAAACCCAAAACCATGCGTAACAGTTAACACCTGCCTCTTTTAGACAGATTGTGTCTATTGAAAACCTTATTTTTCAGCTACATAAACAATCCATCTAGGAAGTGTCAATGATACGAAAAGGAAAACCTTCCTAAGTTCTTAAATAGTGGAGAAAAAAATCTGAGAGTGAGCACTACGTGGTATGTTTTACACACTTGACCTTAGGAGAAGTGAAGTTTCAGGAAATGAAACTGGGAATGACTCAGGTAAATGATGGTATTGTTACATGTTATAATGATAAGGGATTTGGATTTAATCATAACACCTCTTCAAAAAAAAAAAAACATTGATGTGTACACAAAACCACTGTCCAACCAAATGAGAAGAAAAAAATTAATGTGAAATCACATTTTTCTGTGGTGTGAGTTATCAAATCTGTGGCAGTGCTTAGGACACATAAGCAAAATAAGCACGCAATAATTCCACTGGGTTGATTAGGCTAAGTCATTTTAATACCACATTGTGTTCTCTGAAATGAAGCCATCAGTGAGGCCATCAAAGCTGAAATATGTATGCAAAACACCTAAAAGGTATACCAAAGTCAAAGAACTGCACAGGGGAGGTAAGAAATATGACGGTGTATTAGTCAGAAATACCCTAAAAATGTAACCTCCTCATGCTTGCTACACCAGCCTTCCCTTTCCTCCTCCACCTTTTTTGCAAATTTGGACCCATTAGTCACTTCGCTGAACTCCAGCGATGACTAGAAGAGGCAGGTTGTTCACCATCCAGGCAAGTTCAAGAGATCCACAGAACCCCAGAGTTGCAGAGAAAGTGCCGGGGAGCAGGCAGCTAGCTCTGCAGAGCAGGCGGGTGCCGGCCTCACCTTGCAACCAACCCACCTCTGCTCCAACCCCGGCGATGGCCAGGCACCGAGGCGGGCTGGCCGCCCGGAGAACACATGCTTCAGCTCAGACAAACAAGTTCCACGGATGTAAACAAAGAATGACAAAAGCAAGCCGGACCAGCGCTGAAGTTACCCCGAGCCCCTCTGCAGCTGCATTCTGGGCGTGCAAGCCAGCCAGCCAGCCCGAGGGGCCTCCCCTACAGCGGGGCCCAACTCCCCCCGGCGGGCCACCCGCCCCGCGCTCGCCCCCCGCCTCCAGGCGCCCGGTGCAACCCGGCGCCGCCGCGGGGACCCGGAATCGGGGTCGGGCACTCCTCGGATGCAGGAGAGCAAGCGCCTTCTGCGTGTTCCCAGCTGACCCCCGATCCCGGGAGGGTGGGGGGGGTTCCCAGCTTCCCCCAGATCCCCGCGCCTCCTCCCCATCAGCCGCCTCCCCGTAGGTCCCACCGGGGACGAGGCGGAGGCTGCGCGCGCGGCAGGAGGAGGCTCTCGGGGGAGCGGGGCCACGCACCGCGGCGGGGTCCTGGAGTGCAGGGCACAAGGGAAGGACTTCGGAGAGGGCGCTGGGGGACGACGCGGCTGCAGGGGGACAAGTCGGGGTCCCTAGTTCCAGGGTCTGGGATGGGGAGAGAGCGCCGTCTGCGGATGAAAAGAACAGCGCCTCGCGCCAACTCTGGCCGGCGCCCCTCTACCTGCGGCCGCCCCCGCCTCGCCCCCGGCGGCCCGCTTCGGCCCGTCCCGGTCCGGTCCGGCCCGGTCCGACCCAGCACCGTCGCGCTGCGCCGCCTTACCTGTGCTCTGCCGCCGGTGTCCGGTGACCACGGCCTCGCCGGTGACCGGGTGCAGCCAGGTGGTGCTCTTGGCCTCCTCGCTGCGGGGACACAAGGGGCAGAGACCGAGCGTGAGCGGGGGC